ATTATCGTTACAAGGCAATTGAACTATCCAATGCTCGACCAAACGACTGTTATTCCAAAACTGTTCAATGAATAACTTGGAAGATTGGGAAATTCAAGCTCGGGTATTTCAAAATCGCCGCACCCAAACTGTTCTTTCCCTGGAATTGGTCGACTGCACTCGACGGGGATGCCGTCTAAGTTCCGTGATTAAGAAATAAAGGTCCACGACAATTCAATAGAACGCCGATTTGAACGTTCACTTCCGAGAATTGGGCCACAAAGAAGGCATGGAAGTCTTTCTCTTGTGGTGTATTCCACCGGATATGCCCACCTCACACTGCCGCCATTGCCGCCATATGACGTCATTCGAAACTCGCCCCAATCTACAACTCGGGCGCAATCAGAGCCTAACCACGTGATTTCTTGTTTGTTCCGCATACCTGGGAGTCACTGGGTGCTTACCATTTGGCAAAAAAAAATTCCGAAAATTTCGGTTGAAAGTCAAACGGAACAGTGATTTTTCGGAAAATCCGTTCTGAAATTGTAGACTACCTCCAGAGGTAGTCCTCTTTTTCCGTTCGGGATGGAACGGCGGAATTTGCTAAATATTCCAGTTTCCAGTCTCATCAGCCGAAAACGATTACGAGAAAATCCAATAGACTAATTTCGATATATTAAAATTCAGGCTAAAACAATAGACCTCAATAGGAGGCTCTGGGGGATAACAACAGAGTTTGTGGGTTTATTCACCAGAGCCTCTTGCTGATATTGTGTTAGGCTGAATTTTAATATATCGAAATTGGTGTATTTCAAATGGTAAGCGCCATCTCGTTCGTTGGTTTGCGGATTTTGGAAAAACCCTTACATTGTTCAACCGTCATCCCAACCCGTTCATTCTGACAAATCAATTGTAAGCACCCACTAACTCTTCCATTGTTACGTATACGAGGTTACGAGTGATGGGTTTTAAATTTCGCAGACGTAGAGGAGTATTATCCAGTCCCTGAACTCTCCCTTCCCCGCGCGCTATATAGAGGTTGAACCCAGGCTCTAGAAGAGAGAGTCTATCTCCTCTCGCCTTGTGTTCAACCCCTATCCAAGGGAAAAGCCATAGGAACTCGGAGGTCGAGTTCTGGTATTGGACCAAGAGGGGTACGGGTGCGTAACGGGGTGCTAAAGTGGCCCTCAACCATACGCGTAACCCAACCGAGTATGCAAATTGAGCAAACTCGAGGAAATTCTATTAATTAATTCAGCAAATCCTCATAGCTGAGTCCCTTTGGGTCCAAAACCCAAGCTAGACTAGTTTCCTTGTAGTTCAGCGTAGTCGAGAAAAGATGGTGAAAAGCAATGCTGATTATAGGCACGCAAAACATTTAGACTTTTCTGAAGTCTTCTAACAGTTAATTACCTGCTATCTAGATGTTAACAAAAATGAGGGCATGGTTCCTGCTGTACTAATGGACCCTTTTAGCCTGGGCGGTTTGGTTTCCCATTACCGACCACGTTGTCTTCTCTAAAAATTGCTCTTTTATCCATATAAAAATTATTCAATCATATACACGCGAAGACATATATATACATATCTGAATTTATACTTCAGGTGGTTCAGAGCCACCTTAAAGTTTTGAAAATTTAGCGGGTCATACTGTTGCTATGGTAACGTATTGTGTCACGAAAATGATAACAACATGTCAACCTATGATTGGGCAGTTTTTTGATACCCATGATTGTAGCATCAACTGATAAAGAGTGGCTAAAAGGACCCATCAAAATCTAACTGCTGGAAACTGTTTTGAGCCATATTAAAGCTAGATTCTCAAGAGTATCATCAAAAGGTCTGAAATCTATGGGGCAACAAACTACCCAAGCTACAAAGCAATATCACGTCGTCTTTTGATGGGATCCTATTCGCGTTTACTGTTTATTTTTGATGTGTGTGTGTTTGTTTGTTTGTTTTTTCTTTTTTACACTGGGCGCAAATTGAGACGTCGCTCTGGTCGATCGCACTCGGGTTTTGGGTCGTCAATAACATTTTTCTGGGTGTTGGGAGCTCAGCCTTCGCAGCTCTTCTGGTCAAGTCTATGGACATAATTGCTTGTATGATAGCTTATGATCGTCCAGAGAAAAAGCATTACGACAGATCACTAGAAATGGAGATGT